TCCCAGTGCCCGTGGCCGTCTCTACTGCAAAGCTGTTCACGCTTTTTTCTGATGTGATTTTTAAGACCTCTGACATTGCCTGTTTACTGGGACATTGCTGGCAATAGACCCCCGACCCCCCCCACCCCGGACCAGTTTTTGGGTTATCTCCTCGCCTCCGGGCACACTGTTCTGAGCCCCTCCTGCATCGATGTCCGAATTTTGCTAAGGATTTTTAACCCAGGATATTTCACAGTGAATGACTGACTGTAGAGGGGGAAAAAAAAAAAAACCCACAAAAAACACAAACCCAGCCTAGCAAAGCCTGTGTGGAGATTGTAAAGTGCTGAAAAACCTTTTTTTAAAAGCCAGAGAGAATTGTGCCCTGTACTGAGTTATTGTTTGAATAAAAGTTTTATTTATTGCATTGAGCTGGGCCTCGGTGTCTTTTTCGGCTGCCGTGCCTGCGTGCTGCCCTCACCGCCTGCATCGCCCTCCGCGCATTCCCAGGCCGTGTTTTTGTTCCCTGCTCCGTCCCTGGGGACGCTGCACTAAACAGCTTCGCTGAGCGGGAGCAGCGACAGCTGCTTTAGGGCTGGCTGCCCCTCGCTGAGCATCCGAGGGGTGATGCTGCCCCTGCTCCGCATGCCCAGGCTCCGGCTGTGTTTTCCCAGCGCTGGGAAAGCGGCGGTGGCCGGCACAGAGGGGGGAAGGAAGCCGCCCCCTCCCTTCCGCAGCCCCCGCCGTGCCCGGCCGCTGCACTCGCACAGCTCCCGGCTGGCCGTGCCCTTCCTTCCCCTCCTCACAGCACCAGCCACTCAATAAACACCACTTTTCCTCCTTTTTCTTCTTTTTTCCTCCTGTTTCCTCTGCCTGCCGGCGCTGCGTGCGGGGTGGCCAGCGAGCTCTCGGGCCAGCTCGTGGCCTTAAGTCTCTCCTTAACCACGACCTTCTGTTCCCATCGAGCGTCCCGGCGTGCTCCAACCTGCCTTCTGTTTCCCTTGCAGCCCCGATGTTGAAGTGGCCAGGTTTTGAGGTGGCCCTGCCCGTCGTTAGTAAGTGACGGTGTCGCGGGGCCGAGCCCTGGGTGCGCTGGGCAGCGGGTGAGGCCGCGGGGCTGCGCGGGCACGGTGCCACCGCTCTGCTTCGCGCCTCGCCGTCCCCTCCCCGCGTCGCCGCCGCTTGTCCCCGAGCCCCGGGGCTCCCCGGCTGCCTGTGCTGCTCGCCCCGCTGCCGTGGCTGCGCTTGCCGGGATGCTGAGCTGCTCTGTCCCCTCTCCCCGTAATCGTCTCTTTGGTTGTAGGTGTGCGCCGGCCCCAGCCCTGCCCGCACTAACCGCAGGTTTTTTGAGCAGCTTTTTTTGTTGTAGATTCATCCCAGGAGCCTCCTGGTGGTGCTGGCCCCGGGGATGGGATGCAGGAGCCTCCCCAGGAGTCCAGACCCTGCTCCTCGCTGGCACTGCAGAGCCCGGAGAGCTCCTCGCCCGTTTCTCTTTGATCCATGAGCTGCTTTCCCTGGAGCTGCGGGCTCCATCCCAGTGGCTCTTCTCTGCCAGTACAGAAAGAGTTAAATGGGCCCCGGGTGACTCATCAAAGCAACTTTTCCTCTCCCTCCAGTCCTGAGAATCTATTTTGGCATCTTGGGAGGGAAAGTGATCTAAGCAGCTGCATTAATTAGGTGTGAAATTAATTACCCTATTTTTAAGCAAAAGTCATTTATCTTTTAAGGAAAGAAAAAGCGAACGTGGAGAGGTGAGGGATGGCAGAGATGGGGCCTGGGGCTGACAGTGAGACCCTGTCCCAGAGTGGGTGCAGGTCCCAGCATCTTCCTTCTGCTCTGGGAGATGGCTGGGGACACCCCAAAGCTTCTGGGGACATCCCAAAGCTTCTGGGGACATCCCAAAGCTGCTCGGTGCAGGTGCACATGGTAACCACAGCACTTTACCTGAACCCACGTCAGGGGTAGCAGGGCTGTGGCCCCACAGTGAGTGACCAGCTGAGCCCAGCGGTGGGAGCTGGCATGGGGGGCTGTGGCCATTGCTCCCACTGGGGACAGGAGGATTCTGTGGCTCCTGGGGAGGGCGTGGGGCAGTGGGCAGATGAGAGAGGGGCTGCAGGGAGGGCAGGGGGTGCTTGGTGGCTCCCCAGGCAGCCAGAGGGACCCCCAGAACTGCCCACACCCCCTGGGAATGAACTCCTGCAGGGAGAGGACACAGGGGACCTCCTGGAGAAGGGGTAAAGATGCTCCCCATGCCAAGGGAATCCTTGCACCCTGTCCTGGTGCAAGGTGACGATGGCAGCAGGAGGGTGCTGGGGACACCCCAGGTAGGTGAAACCCAAGGTCAGCCAGTCTGGGCCCTGCACTCTGACAAGCTCATCCAGCTGTCCTTGGTGTCCCACACTGTTCCTCTTGGACATTACCTTCCCCGAGGCAGCATGAGGGCTCTGCAGGGAGCTGCCAGCTCTGCCCTTGGCCAGGAGCGAAGCCGTAACCCCCTGCTGCAGGCCTGGGTCATCCCACAGTGCTCCACCTGTGGCAACTGCTGCAGTCCAGCCCTGGAGGAGGCTGGAGCAGCTTCATCAGCTCAGCCCTGGCACCCCTGGCGTCTCCTGCTTTGGGCTGGAGGAGAGCCAGGTGGGAGAACATCCCCCTGCAGCTGGGCTTGGCTCATCTCTGACCCACCACGGCTTAGCTAGGAGAGGAGCAGAGTTGTGGGGGCAGCTCAGGGAGTGGGGCAGCTGGGCTGGGGGCTCCACAAGGCAGAGCTTTTCCAGTTTAAACCTCCCCAAACGCTGCTGGTGCCGGGGTCTCGCCAGTCTCGCTCGCTGTGCCGGTGCCCTGTGCTCTCCGGGCCTCCACACACACCCTGCTAACTCTTCCTTCCTCTTCCTCTTCCTCTTCCTCCACAGGAACCCCTTTGCCAACGTCCAGCTGAAGCCAACGGTGACAAACGACCGCTCGGCCCCGCTCATCAGCTGATCCGGGAGCACTGGCACCGCGTGGCACCCGCCACCTCCTCATCCTCATCTTCCTCATCCTCCTCCTCGCTGCTGCATGTCCAGCTTCCCAGGACTCCATTCCTAGGCGGAACTTATTAATCCTGCTGCTTTGAAAGCCAAAGGCTCAAGCTAGTGCCCTAGTTCTCTCTTCTCTAGACTCCCTCGGTGGCAGGGGGTCACAGCGCTGCCGTCACCTGTCCCCTGCCTGTGCTGAGTGTGGTGGCACTTCCCCGAGTCAGGGCAGCGGGTCCCAGAGCTGGGGGGGCTCCCAGGCCCAGCAGCAGCTTGCTGTGGGTGGGGAAAGGGGCTCAGATGGAGAACAACTCTCCATGGTTGGCTCACAGTGCTCCAGGGGGCAGCCAGGCAGAGAGGACACGGTCGCCCTGCCC